TTACTTTAAGTCCTCTTTCTCAGCGTGGTTCGCTGGGGTTGTTCTGCCTGGGTGAGAAACCAAGGGGTAAATTGTACTTTCACACATGTTTTAATTCAGGGTCTTTCCATTAGAGCTCCTTAGATTGAGAGGAAATTGTTCACTAGAAAAATAAAGCTCAGGCCATCTGCCTTCTTTCAACTTTCTATAGCGAGTAATGTTGAAGTTTCTCGAGGGCTGTTTCTGGACCATATGTTCAAAAAAAGTCAACAAAAATGATTTACAGTATTTGCATTTCAAACTAGATTTTCTTGAGAGATTCCGCTTTGCAAACTTTCCATAATGATAACAGTGTTCTGTATCTCTCACACATACCCATAATTCAGTACACCTACTCTCAAAGGCTCTCTTTCAAGGGGATGTCTGACACGGGTCCCCGCGGAGCTGAATGATCACAGGACAAAAGTCAAGGGCAGATGGGCCACCTGCCATAAAGAAAGAGCTGAAAGGGTTCTATCAAGGAGAAAGAAAATAGACTCCCCATGCAGATTAATAAAATAACCCCAAGGTTCCTCTATACACACCCTGATCTGCACTGCCGCCCGCTGCCCCACCAGAAATATACCACACACACACACACATATGGAATATCTGGGGCATGCCTCACCTGTTGCCTGGCAACAACTGATGGGGGGGGGGAGCTAGTGGTGCGCCGATGATTAAAATTTCCTGGGTAGCAGTGTTTGATCCCCAGTACGCTGCCATTGTCTCTCCACAGCTTCATAAGAGACCCAACGCTGGGGTTGCAAGAGGGAAGAGAATATATAAACTTTCTCACTCTTGTCAAGAGGTGGCTGGCTTTGCTCACTGACTTGTCCTCTACTTTTTGGAGGGTAAAGAAGCCCCCCCCCCCCTCCACGACTCAAGTGAACTCAGGACTTTCTTTACTTTTCCCCCCCTCCTGTCATACTAGTCCCTTTGACAATTCACTGGTCAGTCACATTTTTCCGAGAGAGGCTAAAAAGAGGAAATACATCAATTGAGGTCATACTAAGGGTCAGACACAGAAAGTGGTGTCCTTTCCTAACAGTCCTGGGCTCAGTTTATTTAAAGTGTTGCTGTCGAGGGGGAGAGGGAAGTGGAGACACCGCTTCGGAAGGAATGTGTAGTTAATGCCACGCTCATGGCCAAATTAGTCAGGCCTGCTGAGGGGATTCCTCCTGGGGTCACTGCCACATTAAAGCAAAAAAAAAGTACACTTGAGTACATCACGCCCATTTGAAGCAGATATCTCCACACTTACATGTGCACATACATATTCATAATTTATAAACAAACACATATACAGGGAATACTCTGTAAAAACAGTTCCCTTCTCTTTTGACCTTCTCTATGCAAACCTCTGAGCTGCTTTCCCTCTGTGTGTACAGCTGACAGCTCTTGCTGACAGTGATTATCTGTCCTTGACTACCTTCTCAATCCCTCTTACTATGAAATGATCCCCTCAAACACCCTGGTACACTCACAAAAATGCAGCCCCACAAACATGCACACACACATTTAAGATGAGTTTGCCTCACCTGCTTCCCCAAAACATGCACCTGTCTTATCCTTGCTTATATTTATCTAATCCTGCCAGGCTCTGTGCATAATAGAATTTCAAGAATCAATGATTATTTATTGGAACTTCCAGATCCTGTAATAATGTGTGTGTGTGTGTGTGTGTGTGTGTGTGTGTGTGTGTGTGTGTGT